CCCCCCTTTTTACACCTATACTTTACAAGCCATTTGTTGTGGAGTTACCTCCCTGGAAACCCGTTGTTTTCGGAAGAGTTACCTCCCGGTAATGCAGGCTATACGCTACCTTATACATTATGCATAAGGTTTATTGTAGAGCTACCTCCCTGAAGAATATATGCTACTTATACATCTGTTTGTCCGGGGTTAGTGTCAAAGTTTAATTACCTTACAAATGATGATACAAGTTGTGTGATAATTATCTCCCTTACATAATGTTATATCCGTGCTACGTCATACAGCTATCTCCCTGGAAACTATATATGCTGCCTTACATCTATAACCCAGGGTTAGTTTCAGAGTTATCTTCTTTACAAATTACACTGTTCATGTTGTTTTCTCTCTATCTAATCCCAAGGGAATTACTCTTAGGCGCTAAATAGACAATATGGAATATATGCACGTGATAATACTATTGTTGTCAATACCAATCAGTAGTAATGACAGTGAAATCAAATATGTGATTTTTTTTTTGGACTGCAATAAACCCGCGCAATTCCAGAAACAAACATTGCACGTAATTGTACACACATTACCCACTGCACCAAGCACAGTTCCTTAATAACCAACTTATCTCCCCTTCTGGAATTCTGCCTGAGTGAAACATTTGCTTGGTATTCCAATATTTCGTTTCGTTCTCCACTTGCTCAAGTTTTACAAAATTAGAAATGGTGTTGGTAGTTCTTATTTTCAATGATGCCCAGCTTCTTTATTTTCAATGATGTCCGAGATCCTCATTTAATATGATGTCGTCTTAAATGTTGTCCAGTTTACTTGTGGAATATGATGTCCACATATGTTTCTAGTATCTTCGTGTTGAATGTTATCCATGAATGTTATCCATTATCCTCGTGTTAAATGATGTCCAGTTTCCCCGTATTAACTGTTGTCTAATACCCTCGTACTAAATGTTGTCAAATTTTGTCTTGTGTTCTCTAGTTAAATGTTTTCCAGTATCTTTGTGCAAAATCACATACTTCCATTCCTTATTTGTGATATGATACCGAAAGAGAATGCAGATGATTTTAATAAGCAATATTCACAACCGCACTCTCCAGAATTTTGTATTATTTCATTATGGTTTGGGCATGAGTCTCACGACTGAAAACAACCATGAATAAAAGCCTGTAAAAGCTCAATTTCTCATCTCATTAGCTCGGTGATCTCCGTTACCTTTACGAACATTTTATAGCGTGTTCTTCTGCACCACCGGAAACTGACGAGGGAGTAAGCCAGAAAAGATGTGTTAGTTATCATACTAACACACGACTGATAAAAGATTAATTCCCTTGGCGACAACGTCCGAACAAAATCTAGGATTTAGTCAACATACGTGGATAAAGTAAAGGTTTATCAATACACAATAACAGTAATTTATTTCCTATTGCAATGTTCATTGGCTTAGGGGAGTTTAACAAGAGTTATCTCTCCGGCGTTATACATATGCAATGACAGTAATATATTATACAGTGTTCCAGTATCCTCAGCGGAGAATATGCAAAGTAACAGTAATACACTGCCCGGTATAAGTTGGTCCATTAATCTGTAAGTACTATACACGCACCTCCTATACATAATAACAGTAGTGGATGTACCAGTTAGGCGGGCCAACCGCATCTGGAATAGACCCAGAATAACTGTCTATATTAAATAGGTTTTCATTATCGAAGTAAGTGTGTCCCGGGTTCGAGGCCATGTCTTGGACACTTTGACAACCGCTTCCTGAATGCGAAAAAAGTACGAACGGAGTGTTTGTCATCATTGACATAGGGGTACTTTTAGAACCATCGGACCTGTAAGGAATAGAATTTCAAGGTTTGTTAGATATTTACAGGTTCCAGTATCACTGGGAACAGTTTCCTTACACACTGGAAGAACAGACATGCAGCAAAAGATTCATTAACAAGGTAGAGAATATATGGTCAGTTTTACAAATGTTGTTAAGGTCGAGTTTTATCAAACAAATAATAAATAAAGGATTAGCTTCTTTAATCAAGTAAAGAAAAATGGACCAACTTCGCTAAATACGTAAAGAATATACAGCAGGCTTTTCTTAACACAAAGACTATAGGGCAGGCTTATCTCGGCACAAATGATATAGGACAGGCTTATCTCAACACAAAAAATATAGGAAAGGCTTATCTCAGCACACAAATAATATAGGACAGGCTTATCTCAACACAAAGAATATAGGAAAGGCTTATCTCAACACAAAGAATAAAGGACAGGCTTATCTCAACACAAAGAATATAGGACAGGCTTATCTCAACACAAAGAATATAGGACAGGCTTATCTCAACACAAAGAATATAGGACAGGCTTATCTCAACACAAAGAATATAGGACAGGCTTATCTCAACACAAAGAATATAGGACAGGCTTATCTCAACACAAAGAATATAGGACAGGCTTATCTCAACACAAAGAATATAGGACAGGCTTATCTCAACACAAAGAATATAGGACAGGCTTATCTCAACACAAAGAATATAGGACAGGCTTATCTCAACACAAAGAATATAGGACAGGCTTATCTCAACACAAAGAATATAGGACAGGCTTATCTCAACACAAAGAATATAGGACAGGCTTATCTCAACACAAAGAATATAGGACAGGCTTATCTCAACACAAAGAATATAGGACAGGCTTATCTCAACACAAAGAATATAGGACAGGCTTATCTCAACACAAAGAATATAGGACAGGCTTATCTCAACACAAAGAATATAGGACAGGCTTATCTCAACACAAAGAATATAGGACAGGCTTATCTCAACACAAAGAATATAGGACAGGCTTATCTCAACACAAAGAATATAGGACAGGCTTATCTCAACACAAAGAATATAGGACAGGCTTATCTCAACACAAAGAATATAGGACAGGCTTATCTCAACACAAAGAATATAGGACAGGCTTATCTCAACACAAAGAATATAGGACAGGCTTATCTCAACACAAAGAATATAGGACAGGCTTATCTCAACACAAAGAATATAGGACAGGCTTATCTCAACACAAAGAATATAGGACAGGCTTATCTCAACACAAAGAATATAGGACAGGCTTATCTCAACACAAAGAATATAGGACAGGCTTATCTCAACACAAAGAATATAGGACAGGCTTATCTCAACACAAAGAATATAGGACAGGCTTATCTCAACACAAAGAATATAGGACAGGCTTATCTCAACACAAAGAATATAGGACAGGCTTATCTCAACACAAAGAATATAGGACAGGCTTATCTCAACACAAAGAATATAGGACAGGCTTATCTCAACACAAAGAATATAGGACAGGCTTATCTCAACACAAAGAATATAGGACAGGCTTATCTCAACACAAAGAATATAGGACAGGCTTATCTCAACACAAAGAATATAGGACAGGCTTATCTCAACACAAAGAATATAGGACAGGCTTATCTCAACACAAAGAATATAGGACAGGCTTATCTCAACACAAAGAATATAGGACAGGCTTATCTCAACACAAAGAATATAGGACAGGCTTATCTCAACACAAAGAATATAGGACAGGCTTATCTCAACACAAAGAATATAGGACAGGCTTATCTCAACACAAAGAATATAGGACAGGCTTATCTCAACACAAAGAATATAGGACAGGCTTATCTCAACACAAAGAATATAGGACAGGCTTATCTCAACACAAAGAATATAGGACAGGCTTATCTCAACACAAAGAATATAGGACAGGCTTATCTCAACACAAAGAATATAGGACAGGCTTATCTCAACACAAAGAATATAGGACAGGCTTATCTCAACACAAAGAATATAGGACAGGCTTATCTCAACACAAAGAATATAGGACAGGCTTATCTCAACACAAAGAATATAGGACAGGCTTATCTCAACACAAAGAATATAGGACAGGCTTATCTCAACACAAAGAATATAGGACATGCTTATCTAAGCACAAAGAATATAGGAAGGGCTTATCTCAATACAAAGAATAAAGGACAGGCTTCCTTCTCTCAACACAAAGAATATAGGACAGGCTTATCTCAACACAAAGAATAAAGGACAGGCTTATTTCAACACAAATAATATAGGACAGGCTTATCTTAACACATAGAATATAGGAAAGGCTTATCTTAACACAAAGAATATAGGACAGGCTGATCTCAACACAAAGAATATAGGACAGGGTTATCTCAACACAAAGAATATAGGACAGGCTTATCTCAACACCAATAATATAGGACAGGCTAATCTCAACACAAAGAATATAGGACAGGCTTAACTTAACACAAAGAATATAGGAAAGGCTTATCTCAACACAAAGAATATAGGACAGGATTATCTCAACACAAAGAATATAGGACAGGCTGATCTCAACACAAAGAATATAGGACAGGGTTATCTCAACACAAAGAATAAAGGACAGGCTTATTTCAACACAAAGAATATAGGACAAGCTCATCTCAACACAAAGAATATAGGACAGGGTTATCTCAACACAAAGAATATAGGACTGGCTTATCTCAACACAAAGAATATAAGACAGGCTAATCTCAACACAAAGAATACAGGACAGGCTTATCTTAACACAAAGAATATAGAAAAGGCTTATCTCAACACAAAGAATATAGGAAAGGCTTATCTCAATACAAAGAATATAGGACAGGCTTCGCTCAACACAAAGAATATAGGACAGGGTTATCTCAACACAAAGAATAAAGGACAGGCTTATTTCAACACAACGAATATAGGACAGGCTTATCTCAACACAAAGAAAATAGGACAGGCTTATCTGATCACAAAGAATATAGAACTATTTTCTCTTAACACAAAGAATATAGGACAGGCTTATCTCACCACAAAGAATATAGGACAGGCTCATCTCAACACAAAGATTATAGGACAGGGTTATCTCAACACAAAGAATATAGGACTGGCTTATCTCAACACAAAGAATATAAGACAGGCGAATCTCAACACAAAGAATATAGGACAGGCTTATCTAAACACAAAGAATATAGGACTAGCTTCTTTTAACACAACGAATATAGCAAAGGCTTATCTCAATACAAAGAATATAGGACAGGCTTATCTCAACACCAATAATATAGGACAGGCTAATCTCAACACAAAGCATATAGGACAGGCTTATCTTAACACAAAGAATATAGAAAAGGCTTATCTCAACACAAAGAATATAGGAAAGGCTTATCTCAATACAAAGAATATAGGACAGGCTTATCTCAACACCAATAATATAGGACAGGCTAATCTCAACACAAAGCATATAGGACAGGCTTATCTTAACACAAAGAATATAGAAAAGGCTTATCTCAACACAAAGAATATAGGACAAGCTTATCTCACCACAAAGAATATAGGACAGGCTCATCTCAACACAAAGAATATAGGACAGGGTTATCTCAACACAAAGAATAAAGGACAGGCTTATTTCAACACAAAGAATATAGGACAGGCTCATCTTAACACAAAGAATATAGGAAAGGCTTATCTTAACACAAAGAATATAGGACAGGCTGATCGCAACACAAAGAATATAGGACAGGGTTATCTCAACACAAAGAATAAAGGACAGGCTTATTTCAACACAACGAATATAGGACAGGCTTATCTCAACACAAAGGATATAGGACATGCTTATCTTAGCACAAAGAATATAGGACAGGCTTATCTTAGCACAAAGCATATAGGACAGGCTTATCGCAACACAAAGAATATAAGACAGGCTAATCTCAACACAAAGAATATAGGACAGGCTCATCTTAACACAAAGAATATAGGAAAGGCTTATCTTAACACAAAGAATATAGGACAGGCTGATCGCAACACAAAGAATATAGGACAGGGTTATCTCAACACAAAGAATAAAGGACAGGCTTATTTCAACACAAAGAATATAGGACATGCTTATCTTAGCACAAAGAATATAGGACAGGCTTATCTTAGCACAAAGCATATAGGACAGGCTTATCGCAACACAAAGAATATAGAACAGGCTTCTCTCAACACAAAGAATATAGGACAGGCTTATTTCAACACAAAGAATATAGGACAGGCTTATAGCAACACAAATAATATAGGACAGGCTCATCTCAACACAAAGAATATAGGAAAGGCTTATCTCAATACAAAGAATATAGGACAGGCTTCGCTCAACACAAAGAATATAGGACAGGGTTATCTCAACACAAAGAATAAAGGACAGGCTTATTTCAACACAAAGAATATAGGACATGCTTATCTAAGCACAAAGAATATAGGACAGGCTTATCTCAATACAAAGAATATAGGACAGGCTTATCTCAACACCAATAATATAGGACAGGCTAATCTCAACACAAAGAACAGAGGACAGGCTTATCTGATCACAAAGAATATAGAACTATTTTCTCTTAACACAAAGAATATAGGACAGGCTTATCTGATCACAAAGAATATAGAACTATTTTCTCTTAACACAAAGAATATAGGACAGGCTTATCTGATCACAAAGAATATAGAACTATTTTCTCTTAACACAAAGAATATAGGACAGGCTTATCTGATCACAAAGAATATAGAACTAGCTTCTCTTTACACAAAGAATATAGGACAGGCTTATCTTAACACAAAGATTATAGGAAAGGCTTATCTCAACACAAAGAATATAGGAAAGGCTTATCTCAATACAAAGAATATAGGACAGGCTTCTCTCAACACAAAGAATATAGGACAGGCTTATATCAACACAAATAATATAGGACAGGCTCATCTCAACACAAAGAATATAGGAAAGGCTTATCTCAACACAAAGAATATAGGAAAGGCTTATCTCAATACAAAGAATATAGGACAGGCTTCGCTCAACACAAAGAATATAGGACAGGGTTATCTCAACACAAAGAATATAGGACAGGTTTATCTCAACACAAAGAATATAGGACAGGCTTCTCTCAACACAAAGAATATAAGACCGGCCTATCTCAACACAAAGAATAAAGGACAGGCTTATTTCAACACAACGAATATAGGACAGGCTCATCTCAACACAAAGAATATAGGAAAGGCTTATCTCAACACAAAGAATATAGGACAGGCTTATCTCAACACAAAGAATATAGGACAGGCTTATAGCAACACAAATAATATAGGACAGGCTCATCTCAACACAAAGATTATAGGACAGGGTTATCTCAACACAAAGACTATAAGACAGGCTAATCTCAACACAAAGAATATAAGACAGGCTAATCTCAACACAAAGACTATAAGACAGGCTAATCTCAACACAAAGACTATAAGACAGGCTAATCTCAACACAAAGATTATAGGCAAAGAATATAGGACTAGCGTCTTTTAACACAACGAATAAAGGACTTGTTCCTTTTATTGCAAAACTAATATAGAACAGCTTCTCTTATTACAAAAATAAGATAGAACTAGCTTCTCTTCATGCAAATATAATACAGAATAGCTTCCCTGGTAACGTAAAGCATATAAGTCCAGCTTCGCAAAACACGTAAAGCATCTTATTGAACAAGTAATTGTAAGGAATTTAGCACTAGCTTTTCTAAATACGAAGATTATAGAAATAGCGCCACTAAACACGTCAAAACGTATCGTAAAAACCTTAAACGAAAAACTCTTCCCCTTATTTCTGGTGTGAGTTTGTAATGTTTATAGTTCCATTTTACTTGTATTTCCTTTGGTTGTAAAACAGACACAGTTTTCATTTACGGCGAATACAATTTACACACAATCACCTTTGAAGAGCTGTTGATGCCATACTCGACAGCTCGTGAATGGCATTCAGCAAATATACCGATTTATCACATGTGCTAAGAACTAGTTATTATAAGTTAAATATGTGTTTTCCCAACTTAGATTACAAAACGTGGATTCAAAACAATTATGACAATTGATAAATAACAAAAAGTTAAGAGCAGTGTTGTGACATGTGACTTCTTAAAAGAAGATCAGAACAAATATTGTAAATATACGTGGGAATAAAAAGGGCACAAGATAAAAATACATACAACACCAGGTATATTATACAGCCTTTAGTACTAATGCTTTCATATAAACGATACCAGAAACAAGATACATGTAATACGTTAGTTAAAAAGTTAAGAACCCCTGTCCCACTACACTGCGATTTTTTCTTATATGGAGTAACCTCCCCATTCTTGTTGGTTGTATTTTGTTTAATTCGTCTTAATTATTTCTCATGAAAGTCCTGCAATGTAGGGTTATCTTTTCAGAAATGATGTATCAACATCTTGTCATGCCGTAAATAAACCTAGTTTCTAGCACTTAATTACAGGTTTTCGCAGTGGTACGGGGATCACTAACTGCCCGAACACGTGGGTTTTCTCCGGGTACTCCGGTTTCCTCCCACACTAAGACACCCCCACGCGCTGACATCCGGACCAACAAGAGTGATTAATATAAGTTGAAATAACTTGTTTCATAATTGTTGTAAAATAAATAAAGTTTATATATTTATATATCACTAACTAATATGTGACTTATATGCAATACAACGGTGTGAAGTTTGTAAAATAAAAATAAAAAAAACCATTGATATATTGTTTATGTTTGTTTTTCGAGGGTTGACACACAACATTCTGCAAATAACTTTTCAAGATACTGAAGGTCAATAGAGTTTATAAATTTACCTGCAGCAGAAGTACAGTTCTGTATCGTAAGTGCCGAGTATTTTTGGGAGGGCCCCAGACATGGGCCTTATAGTATTGTCGAGGTCCTCCTCGTCAAAATAGATGTATCCACTTGAAAACCCTTAAAACACACATAGTAAAAGTTAATATAAAAATAAAATTATGCAAGCATGACACTTTCTTTATTTCATTTCATGATAAAATCAGAATTGGGAACAGTTCTAATTCGAAACTTGTTGGTTTTCATTCTAATCGGTGTGGATTCGACTTCCTGTTTTTTTCTGTCTAAATATAATTGCAATTTATTCAGAAATGTGTTTCTTTTATTCTTTTGACCCAGAGTACAACTGCAGTGATGGGTCCTGATTACACGAAATGAACATAATTATGATGCAGATAAACATATGTCACAAAAGAAGAACAATGCTGTTACAAGGGATCATGAGTATAAACTATTCAAGAATAGATCGCGCCTAAACATGGGAAAGAATTCATTTTGTCACCGAACTGTTGACATCAGGAACAGCCTGTCACCTGAAATTATGTCATCAAGAACTATCAAATCTTTCGAGTCTTGCCTAGACCATCACTGGACAAACCAACCGATACTTTATAATTATAGAGAACCAAATTCATTATACACCCGTAGTTAAATATATGAACTAAATATACTTTCTGATAATTAATTAACAAATTAATGTTGTGAACAGACGTAAGTAATGACTCTAATTGGGAATATATACATTTTATTTTCACCTCATTTTTTAATGATTAATGTTATTCAAACAACCACTTGGATGATACTTCGTATGTCCATGCTCTTGTCAGAATGTGTTAAAACCGTACTTAGCTCACAACAGAGGATTTCATAAGAATAAAATATTTGTAATGATAATAATAAACAACTTTATTTAACGAGGAAGACATGTTTAGCCAAAGGCTAATCTACCGCATGGTTCCCATTGTTGGTAAAACATATAAGAGGTTAGTAAATCATAATTACAAATATCACAGATACATAAATATTGCAACATAATATCGTTATAGAATTAAATGTTTTGTATCAGCTATGAGAATATCACAGAATGTACAAGTGTTGAATTTAGGTTAAAATGTATCACCTAAGATACAATATTGCTTAATACAAGTGTAAAAATTATCACAGAATGCACAAATTTGCCGGTTCGTCAATTAAAATGGCACAATGCCTTATGTACATACACCTATATGTTAATATAGTCAAAAAATTGTAGGTATCTGTGTCAGGATCCCTGTCCCTGGGTTTTTCGTATTGAACTAACCTCCCCTTAATTCGATTTGGTCATTTGGACCAGGACATTTCCATTGTTTAATTAGTTTCGTTTATGTTTGCCACTTTCTTATAAATTCATGCACCGTACCATTTACCGCAAATTATTGTAATTTCACTTTTTTAAGTTTTTAATTGAGTAAGTGAGAAACGTTTAGGAAGTGAGAGATAAAATTGCTATGCTGGCTGAAAAGTTTGAAATATGAAAATGCTTTTGGATACTGTTTCATTACGTTTGTGTTGAACGTATTCGAAGGAAAAGGTTTCCCAAATGATGGACACATCGTTACCAACGGTTTATTGAACAAAAGGGTAGAAATAATGAGTTGAACTCTTCCTTACCCGTTGGACAGTAGTCGCCGTACATCATTATACAATACGTGCCGGCCGGCCACACGGAGGGACCAGTATTTTCGTTAGCATCTGTCTTCGTACAAAAGTGCCACACCACGTAACCACCGGAAGCAGAACCTATTGATTAATAAAAAAAATCGCTCAGGAAATATGTAAGAAAATTCTAAATATTCCGGATATTTTTCATGTATGCCTATAAATGCTTCTTTTTGATTATATTAACATTAACGATCAATATTTTAGCAAATGTTGTTATGGTCCGATAACATACAGTTGTTTTGCTGACAAACTTGCATGAAGCCCTACCGGGCTTTTTCAAGTTTGTCATCAATAGCAATGTGTGTTAAAGGACCATAACAACATTTGCTAAAACCGTCATTGCTTAAATATTACGGCCCTGCACTACGAGCGATTATATCTAATTAAACAATACAAATATACAATATCAAAACAGAACAAAAACAAAGATGTAAAAACCTTCTACAATACAAAACTAGAGAAATTGTGAGCGAGCTTCTATTTGTTTACAGACGGTCAAATGATTGCATCACAAATCCCTTCCTTTCATGCACATCTTCACATGATGTACTTTCACCGTGGCTGGTTACAACAAAAATCCAACAAATAGTTAAGGAGGAGTTGTGCTTACAAGGTTTCTTGAGCAGAAATGTAAATATTCAAGGGCCATAACTCGAAGAAAAAAAAGTAGAATAGCAAATTCATTTAAATCTACATGTAATGTACTTTCACTGTGTAAAGTAACCAAAACATCCAAAAAACTGTTTGTGCTTAGAAGGTTCATGGACAGATAGACGGACAGGGTGATTTCTATATACCTCCTAAACTTCGTGTGCAGGGGGGTATAGTGTACATGTATAACGAATGACAGGTATTATTTTCTATCACAAACCGGTTTCCATCAGGAATCCATTCTTTGCAAAGTTTCTCAACCTGATAGAGAAGACAGCTTTCCTTGTTGAAAGATTATTACAAAAACAATAAATGAAAAGAAATAAGAATGGATGTCATTTCCCCCAAAAAAAAGAAAAAAAAAAAGAAAAAAAAAACATTTTGTGAATATCATTATTTTGGTCTTGATTATATAACTTATTTCCGAGGAATTTAGAAAACGTAACTGATACAATCAGTAACAAACGTATACCTGTAAGGTCATTGTTGCTGTTGTAATTACTACCAGCATCTTCTGTGTGAAAGGTTTTTTGACCCACTAGAAAACCCGTAGGACATCCCGTAGTAGGCTGGAGCAATGAATATGTTCCATAGGGCCAATCTATAAAAAGAATTCAATTGTACAACTTTATTACATTTTTATCAATTATTAATAATATTTACAGTTTCAGGTGTAATTGACTCAATAACCCTTGTTGAGGTCATTATCAACCGATAGTCATTCTCGTGTGGTTATACCTCGTGCGCGTACGTAGTGACGGCAACATGGCGATTGTTCCTCGTGGAAACTTTGACGTTATCGCTAAATCTTACACAATCACGCGCCACACACAAAGTTATTCCGACATTAACAGGGCTCCCACACAAACTCCCATCTCAAATGCGTCGGTTTTGTTTTCAATTCAGTCCGGTATGTTGACAAATTTATCGTTCACAAGCTGCTTCTTCAACTTCAATAGCAACCAACAATAAATGACTCCGGCGAAGCGTGGTGCGAGGCGTAACCGTATCACACATCGGGTTTGAATGGAATATTTGTAATTCTTCCGCGGAATATAGTCCGGATAAAAGAACGCGTTTTAAGGAAAATCTTGATAGAACATGTATGGGGTTTTCACTAGTTTTTCAGAACAGTTACATGTAAACTGTATATTATGCAAATCATATTGAAATATGTGAAATGTTGAAATTTGTTGTTCGGGTTATTTTTGTCGTGAAACTTTCAAATGGAAAAACACGAAACGGGTAATATTTAAGAAATATACTATAACTTTAAGGATTAATTTTCTATTTAGTTTAGGTTTTCGGGTGATAACTACAATGGAACTCGGGTAAATAAGTCATAATCGGCGAAAGATTATTCAATTTACCCGAGTTCCATTGTAGTTATCACCTGTTAACCTATACTAAACTATACTAGCTCAGCCATTTTGTTTACAGAAGTTGTAGTGCGTAGGAATATGACCTATTTTACATGGTGCCAAGACTCAGTTGCATGTTTTATTGCACGTGTGCTATATTGTTTATATTTTTGAGCGGTAATATTGCACGGAAATAGCATGTATTGAGGGGATAGTACGTTGTTTTGAGTGGCTTTACTGGCGATTAGAACGATAGGTCGAGAGTTTTAGCAAAATTTCATGTTCTAATCGCCAGTATAGCCACTCAAAACAACGTATTATCCCTATTCTAACACACATGAACAAATATACTGCGCTAATATGTTCAGAAACATTGTATTTCTTTGTACACAAGTACGTAGTAAAGTACTTTATGACCTGAACTGGCGACGTGTCATTCTGCAGCGGACTGACCAATCGGAAAGAAGCTTCCAAAAGTCGGTCATTTGGCCCCGCCCATACTTGCGAGTGCTCGATCTGTATGTTGACGATGCGGAATATTTAAATTATTCCTGAACGTCCTGTTACCAAAGTTTATACGACACATTTGGATTAATATTGACCAAATTCTTACATTTCCATGATAGTCATTATGCATACCAATCTGTGCTTATGAACAAAATCGGTGATTATTTGTATAGATGTGTGAAGAGTGTTTTGTGTAAATTCATACGACACATGTGGAATGTTTTATTTGATTTCGAATCTAACTAGATGCCTTCATACGGATGGAACGAACGTTTCAGTAATAAATGGAGGTAAGAACAAGGAATGTTTACTTTTTACTTTTTGATTCATTTAACAAATACATTGCATTGGTTGTTTCTGTTCTGTTGCCTGCTAGCTTTATCAGCGGGATATTGCTAAGAGGCGAGCTTGACGCTATATTGTTTTGGTTAGAAACGGGGCGTGGCTTAAGTGCGATATGAGGAGCTTAACACGATTAATCATGATTCTATTGCAGATTAGAACATGGTCCGTAACCAATCAAAACACGCGTTGCAAACGAATCGTGTTAGAATATAAAACAAATATATATATACATGTATGAACCGTCAAAAAGGGGACAAAACAAGGATTGGCCAATCATGGCACCCATCTTAATTAGTTCGCGCACTTCAGACGGGATTATTCATTGTTAAACCCCATGCTAGATGTTCCAATCCTAGTTCTCGGCTTAGATAACCCGATTTCGCACATCACTTACTGATTATAAACCTTATTGTATTCGTTAGGTTCAGAACAACCATACAGGTAATCATCAAACTAAGACATGAAGAACAAGTCGACACTGGAAAATAGTTTTGGGACAATCAGTTAGACGTCGATTCAAGTTTCTCATGTAGAAAACCCAGTGTACGCGGTTTATTCGTCAACATGGCACCGCTATACCATCAATCCTGATACTTAGAGTACGCTTTTAAATCGGCTTGGCACACCAGGGCAATCACAAAGTCAAATGTAAACATTGAAAACAGTATTCAGCTTTAAGTCTCTTAAATGTTTTTCCAAAAATTGACAAAATAAGATTTTTTATATTAATTTATAACCAGAACATTGATTTAGGCACAAAATCAATGCTTGAGCATGAGAACGGTTTCATGAATAAGGTCCGAGTGTTAATTTGGGTATAACCCTACTGTATTTTGAATTTTGTGGCAGCATCTCGCGATTATACTGTCGCAAATGTCTGTTTTTTTGGCTCTGCTCTAAAATAAGAAGGGTAATCCCCATTCTAATTCAGAAAAGCTTGAATCACCGAAATAACCTACGATTTTAAAATGCTTCAAATTGCGCGTTTCCTTCAAAATCTGGGTCTTCGTGACGTGGATTCGGGTCTCGTTATTGTTTGTGACGTCATTAAAAATCAATTTCATGTCATGTCGGGTCAGTCGGGGTCATTAAGAATCGTCACCCGGGCCTGATAAGCAAATGAGATAATTGCAAACGTTATATCGTGGTGATAACGTCAAAGAATATTTCGATTGAGAAATCAAATACCGTGTTACATATCCAATGAATAAGAATTTGTATTTCAAATGTTCATGCAAATTATCTATTTTATCATTACCCGAAAATAACAAATTTTAACTCACCGCCACAAGCGACATTTGGAGTTGTCCATGAGCCAGTATTTTGGCAGGTAACATAATGAGACGGTTGTATGCTGGTCTTTCCGTCACAGAGGTAGTATCTGTTACTGCCAACAAGGTTTGTCCCAGGCTGGACTGTGGTTTCGTTCACAGTTGGCGGGGCCCCACAATCTACAACAGATATCAAGCATTCGTCAAAGTTGGCATCACAAAACTACAGAATTTCTTGTTCAGGTGATTAATCAATAAAAATCGACATTTTCCCAATGATTTTGAAGAATTTTAGAGAGACTAAAAGCCGAATACCGTTTTCAATATTCACACTTGTACCTTTGGTTGTGTCGTAGGATTTGAACGAGTTGTAAGACAATTGATTTCAGCTCAGAATCCATGCTTGAGCACGAGAACAGATTTATGAATATGGGTCTTGACGTTCTTTACTCTTTGTTATTACGTGTTTTGTTTATCGGATAAAGCAGAGTGAATGCAGAAGGATACCTTAGTGGTTTTGTGTTGTAACGAAACATTTACGGAAATTCAAACTTGTTTTGCCGAAAGAAACATTTGTGATGTAATATTTACGTATGAATAATACACAAAAAATGTTGTGATATACATGTTACGAATCTTACGGATAATTCAGACGTTTTTGTTATGACATTTAGTTTGGTTTGGTTTGATTTTGTTTAACGTCTATTAACAGTTATGGCCATTTAGGGACATGCCTCCATGTGTGTTATGCACACGTACATGTGTGTATGTGTGCTAGATGGAAGGAATGCTGATGTTTTGCCTCCTTGTGATGTTTGTGGTGCAACACATTTTTAAGGATAATGCTGACAGTTTTGTACTTACAGAAAATGCAGACACATATGACATATATTTACCAGTGCACGTGTATGACACGGCGGTCCACGATCCGCTGACTTGGCAGGTGATGGACGATGTTCCCCCAGCTATGTAGCCTGTGTCACACGTGAAGGTTATTACGGTTCCTACCGTCTTCTGAGTTGACGAAGTGGACGCATTTGTCACGGAAGGCGGAGTGGGGCACACTGAAATAATCAGGGGATGCGATCAGCTTGCTTGACTTATCTGGGTGAAATCCGTAATGCATTGCAATGTCTTTCTGTTATTTCTTCTTTTCGTATTGCAGAGTTATCTGCTCTTGTGAGCAGGTATTTATTGTTATGAGGGTAACGTCATTTGTTTATGAGGGTAACGTCATCAATTTTTGAGAAAACGATGTAATTTTCTCAAACAAACCTATGACGTAACAATCAATACCTGCTCACAAGAGAAGATAACTCTGCAATACGCACTGCATCCCGTCATCTTTTCATTAGTCTAATGTTAATCAGAATCGTATTGGGTGACAACGTTTAAGGGTAAAGCCAAAACCCTGTTTCAACGATAACAGTCTGAGAATAGGTAGAAGTAGATATAAAATAAATAGTTATCAGTTATGGACCTTTGCTGAGGTGAATACGTGATTGTATGAACCAGAGAAAGCGATATTAACAGAATCAAAGTCACCCTTTTCGGAACCCGTTTTTCATGAAACCCAGTTATTGTGATTAAGCCCAATTTCCTGTTCCCGTGATGGATTGATAATAAAATCATATTTTGTCAATAATTTACAAGAATGGGGGTGACTTTTATTGAAAGTTTACATTTGACTTTTGACCATGTTATATTATTTAAGCGATTTCTAAGAAAGATGGCTACAGCACAGAATTCATTCTTGAGTATGAGAATTGTGTCATGAATTCGGGCCCTCAAGTCAAAACCAAATATTTACTGAAATCCTTTGTTGTTGTATAACATATGCATTTATCATTGACCAAGACTAAACATAGGCAAATAGAACAAACAAATTTGACAGAGAACATGTTTGTGTTACAATAGGAGTGACGCCTTAAAGAGATGTTTCTAAAAATAGTAACAGTGAATCAATATGATAAATTACCGACCTTCACGTGATAATGAATCAACCAATGTTAATGTATGGGGAAATTATGTCATGAAATAAAATCACATATTAAATTAACAAAAAACATTACCTGTATATTAGAAATAACACAATATAAATTCATGTAACTGTCCTTACCACATGTAAACGTTTGGGTTGTTCATAGACCATTATTTTGACAATTCATTATTTTCCAAACTCATGGAATTATGTCATTACTGTAGGCAATTATATTATGATAATGTTACTCATAATGTCTTATATTGTGGCAAAACTAATGAAGTAAGAGACAAATTATGGTGCCGTTTAATTAGTATATTTGATATATAACGCAATGTACGTTTGCATAGTTTATCAGACTTGGATTTGAATAATACCTTTTTTGGTAGTGAATTAAATTATGAAATGTCATCTGAAGAAAATGAATATTCAAGATAAGGGATAGTAACACATGTGTATCAAAATTTAAAACAAAAGGCTACAAATCATTTCATTTTATATTTAAGCAATGATGCCCATTACAATGTTTATGCATACATAAGAATAGCGATACATGAATACTTTTCCAATGTTCGTGTGTATATATATGTTAAATGATTCTTATATGTTACTATTCTGTTTGTGTTATCTTCATATTGGAAGAAATAAAGAGAATAATAATAATATATTTTAATGACTCAATATACAGTCGTGTACCTGCCCTTACCACATGTAAATACTGGAGTTGTCCATAGGCCATTATTTTGACACGTCACAGATGCGTTCGCGTCGGGAGAAGATAAAGTTCCACATAAATAGAACCTTGTGCTTCCAACAGTTTTGTTCCCTTCAAGGACCGTACCGGAAGTGACGTCTGGTGGGGCACCACAATCTGCAAATGTGTTTCACATCGGATCGCTTACTAACATTAAATACATATTTACCAGAAAATGTATTAATTGAAGTATCCCATGCATGTTTTATCATATAACCATGTGTAAAAGTCACAAGATGGTTATCACCAAAACATTACGGGTATTTATTTCCTACAACACCGCTTGAGTGTATAATTGTACTATGACGGTAGTTTCTTTCAACCAGACGCTTGATCACTTGTAATCCAAAAGACTTTCTAAGGTGTACAGTTATGTTCCCTTCTTTCGCTTTGGATATATATGAAGGTCTATTGGACAGAAACACTTCCGTTGAACAGGTAGCTCAGCCAGGTATACATTGTAGCGATAGTATTACAATCTGAGGTGAAGGGTTCAAATGTCGGTGTAGCCAAGCTGAAGTTTTACACTCAGAACACTGTTTTGGTTATACATGTGTATTTTTTTTTATTTTTCATCTTTATTATTTTTTCCAGTTAAGTCCCACATGGTTAAGAAAGGATTTATAAAAGCTATAGTCATGTCGAAAACAGTTTCCAGGGATACCTCACAAAGAACATATTGTAAAACCCTAGGAAGACGCAATCAAGTTGATTATATGTTCGAAAGGATGCATCATTGGTTTACACTTATATATCTAGATGAACATCACCAAAACTATTAGATGTTCCTTTGGGAGACATTGAATTGAAAGGAAATATCGCCTAAAAGAAAGGATACATATGACAGAAAAGACAAACAAGAGGTTCCAGGTTTTCAAAGAAAATCATATTAAGTGCCAACCTCACTATCACTGCTAGGGTAACTCTTTTCGTGTATATAGTAACGTGACACCTCTTTCGACCACATTTTTCGTAGTCAATGGGCAAAGATGGTTCCAAGGCGGGGTGGCAATAAAATATGAGAGAAAAGTAGAGTGTAGGTCTAAATTGTAGCGATAGGTTAGCAGATATATTTTGGTTCCATTTCATGATTTCCCCAATATCCTCGATACTCCAGGGATCACGCTTACCTATCTTCTTTGTACCCCTCGGATGTGTTGTGAAACAATCCAAGTCTTAGTGTGCGCCAACATTGTGAATGAGACAAGAAGATTGGTTCGATCCTTTGATGTACATCAAAAGAATCTCGCGTAAGCGTAACGGTACAATTGACCAACTTTGTAGTTGGTTGTCGCTTGTCTGTAATCGTCAAAGGACAAGCGATTGGCCAGGTTTGTTTTTACATGACACCAATCAAATAGCCTAGCCACGTGCCTTCAAATTTGCTATGACATTACAGGAGTGCAGAGACTCTAAGTGAGTGTAACCCCTGGAGTACCGAGGTTGTGTCCCTAGGAGAACACACAACCACACAGTGACATAGGCGCCTTAAGATTTTTTTGTTTACGTGTCAAAGAGCTTGCTCAGAATATCGGAACTTTTGTGATAGATATCGACTGCTGATAAACTTACATCCCAATTTTCGAGTGATGCATGTTGAGAAAGACTATGGCAAAGATAATCATGATCGTATTGGGTTATAATCTATTTCTATATGCAGTATGGATATCGACGTTTTTACCTATCCTCTATAATGATCACTGTCCTACTGCCCTGTGTTTCTTTCTGTATGCAGTGACCTCCACATAACTGCCGATTCGACATTACTGTAAAACTATTAGGCCAGGTCACTTCCGTCGAACAGGTAACAATAGCTCGAATCCGGGTCTAGCATATCAACATACTTGTACATTCAGAACACTGGAGTTTGACTATGGCGGCAAAATATGTCTAGAACTTTCCTACAATTTTTAACAGTGGCACAGGGATCCTTAATATGACTTGTTATTTTTCTGTCATTATCCTGGTACCTAATATAAGAACGTGATATTGTTTTTGGGTTTGTCGATGAAACAGAAGATTCTTTCCCTTTTGGAACACAGCGTACTGTTTGACCTGTACATTTCCAAGGGTCTCCATGTAATTGTTTTTCTTTTTTTTATATTTCGCCCTAGTTTTACTGATTGAGGACTCAAATAACCTATTGGCACTTCGGAATTATCTTGGTTTTTTTATTGTAAAATGCATCAAACCAATTATTTTCTAATTTCCCAAAACCTGTAGACAACTCGCGTCATGACGAACGTGATAATGCCTCAACACATATACATGCGGTTTTTAATGCCTGATTTGAGGCCGACATTAACTAAGACATAACATGTCTGTTGCTATTGATTTCAACGCTTTAATTATTGGATATAAAAGAGTCGTTTTACAATTTCCATTAAGCTTTAAAATCGCATCTGAAGGATACTTATTGTATGTTACAAATTGAAAGTTATGCAATCTATAATGGGAATTGTTCGGTTCGATGTTAAACCAAAATAAAGGTGGAGATAAACCAGCTTCATATTGACGAGAGCAGCATTCAATGTTTTATTATAATGCGACATATTATTTTAAATACTACAACGGAAGCTATATAGAGTTCATCCAACAAAGGGAGACAATTCTCCGGAAGTCGATTGTCGCCATCTCCCTAGTCTCGTTCAACCAGACGCTTGATCACTTGTAATTCAAGAGTCTGGTCAAACACAGTGCATTAACATTATCACCACAGGAGGGCAGTATTTCTACTTTCGTTTCCGGACGTTATGTCAACGTCATTTAACATTTCAATGAATAATGAAATTAATGAAAAAAGTTACCTATGCATGCATTACTGAAGGACCCGTGTATTCACTTTTATCGATAACAATGTAAGTAAATGTGTCAAATCTCCAGAATAATGCCATATATTTCCATTGAATAAATCGTAACTAAGCACAAAGCCAACAAGGCTGACTGAAGTTTGAAAAAAGCTTGCAAAGCATGTGAGATTTTACCTGTACACCATTCAAAACACCTTCAAATTCTCACTCAGGTAATCTGGCTTGACTTGTATCAATAGCCTTGTTAGCTTCATGAATTATTGTAAAAATATCCAATGAAAATTCACGAAATCATTCTTTTTGAAGCATTTTCTTACATTTTTCTCGTAAATAGTGAAAAAATGGATACTTCAGGAATGCATATACAGGTAATTTTTTAATGAACTAAAATATTTAATGTGATTTTGGACCACTCAAATTCTGACTTCAAAAGTTAAAAATGGTGTGTCAACCTTTGACCAATGATTTTTTTTTACCAGAATCTCGGTAAGCCTCGTTATGATGTCACAAAACGAAAGCACTGCGTTTGACCAGACTCTCTATTCGGCGTAGCTTGCGCAGGCAACAAGAGTCTGGTTGAACGAGACTACCATCTCCCTTGCTAGCGTATGTATAAAGCGTTTCGATCGCGCACCTGTCAATACACAACATCGCTCATGCAAACATAACAAACATTGAATTGTACCCTTGTAAATATTGCAGCGTCGAACGGGACTCCAATCCTTAATAATTAGTATACATGTACTAGCCTAACCTACACAATCTTTATTTAGAATCCCTGTACCTGCCAAAACAATTAATTTGGTTTGAAAACTCTTTTTTTTCGGCATGACTATAGCTTTGATAATCATTTCTGAAATGAAACATATACCTTGCGAAACTTTCATAAAAGATAATGAAGATATGATAATAAAAATAAAAATAAATATTATGACTGTAAAAACACAGGGTCAAACATGATTCGAACCCTGGTCCTCCAATCATCAAACTGTCGCTTTTACCAACTGTGCTATCTAGCATGCTGTAGAACCTGTCGCGCTGCAGTCATATAAAAAACGAAATTATGGAGAGGTTACTGGATGTTCGAAAACTACAGTGGTATTTTCTAGTTCTTTTACCTACATATGCTATTTTTGGGGTATACATGTATTTAGCAGATGTTCTGTTCTCTTTTCGTTTTCCGAGGTATGTTACAGGTAACAAACACGTGATAGAATTGATGAGATTTTCGACCGATGTACATCGATATACATAAAAAGAGTACAATTTGTATAAAATGCTATTCCATCTATAGTATCAAATAATTCTGAAAGTAATCATTCTTGTCGTGAATAGAGAACGCATCGAAAGTAGCAAATACGGAGGTATTGTACATATGAAATGCGATATCACAGTGTACAGGGTGACGGACCAATTCTAAGGAGGTTCTTGTTAATTCAGCTATTACAGGGATAGCTCCTTGATGGTACCTATTATGTAATTCAAGCGTTAGATATTTATTGACCCCCCC